GTCATGTGGCTAATTTATCTTTAATGCTTAGTGACATGCTAGGGTTTGTTATTAATCTTGTTAGTATCATGCCTAGGATCTTGCTAATAATATTATGCTTTAATATGATTATTTTCATTATGATTGTTATTTCGATTATGATTATAATTATGATGATGATTAATATGTTGTTTGATTTATTTTTTTTATAGTTAATGCTTGATCGCGCCTTTTATGCATGTTTAAAGGGAATTTGTACTTGTAATCACGCTTAATAAGATAATTAATAATTTTGTTTAGGATAATTGTATTATAATTCAAATGATCGCCAATAATAGTTTTATTTGTGCATTAATATTCAACAAAATAGATAAAAAAGTTTAGGGTAAACCTATTGACTGCATGTTAGTCATAAAGCGCACATGAATACGAGAAGAATAAAGTAGAGGCCTATTATTAGGGCAAGTTCAATCTCTTTTAGGTTGGACTTGTATCTTCATCCCCGAACTTCTACTCATGGTTCCAGACCTATTGGAATTAACGATCTCCTAGATCGTTAAGGGGTGTAACCTTCACCCTGTGAACGGTTTACAAGTTCCTAAAACTTAGCTTGTTGGCGACTCTTTTACTTTAGCTTCCTTCCCTTTGGACGCCACCATTATTAAGTGTATGATAATAGTGGGGCTAAAGTGTGGGATGGCTTGAAATATTTCCTGCACTACTAAAATACACAAAATAAAGATTAAAAAAAGGAAAATAAGAAAAAGAGAGAAATAAAGCCTAAAACTAAGTGAAATTATTAGAAACTAAACCAAAAAATAAGCATAAAAATACCCTAAAGTGAAATAAAAGTCACTTATTAATATGTCATTTCATATGAACTGTATGTCATCTACATACAAGACTTAGAAGACCATTTTCTCTATAAGATATCAAACTATTTTATTGCCTAATCAAAACGAATGTTCCAACTCCCTTATGCTCACTTAAATCCATAAATGAATTTCTAAAGTTTGTAAAACTTTCATGTTTCTAGATTTCAAAACTCTTAGGTTGTATCATATACATATCCTACATCAAGAACATTTTAAGAAGGTGATTTTGATATCCAATGCTAAACAACGTAATCGAAAATTAGTAATCATTAGAAGAATCTGAATAAGCTTACGCAACTAATAGGTTTGACCCCATTTGTAAGACTATCATGGATTAACTTATCTTTATAGACATGGAGTCCATTCTGGATTCCATGGCTTTAAGCCACTTCCTGAGTTGGCTCTTACCCAAAGCTTGCTTGTAGGGTATGGATTCTAAATATTTCAATAGGGAAATTTTAGGATTCATCTTTCCTTAAAATTTCAACAAACTGTTTGTTTTGTTCCCAAATAACCTTTGATAGGTATAAGCAACAATAGAATTATTCTCTTCAACTCTTTGAATCCTTTCATTCAACTGGGACGATAGAAGCCTCGCTAAATTTAATTAGCTTGCTTTGACATATGATTTATCAAATTAGCTGATTTCATATGCCCTCTTCTCTAATGTAGTATTATCCACATTCATTTGCTGCTCGCCTCGAATCTCCGAGATCTAACTTTACTCCCACTTGTCTTTGTACGAAGAGATTTCTCTCTATAAAGACATTACCGCGAGCAACGAAACTTTGTTATCTATGCGATTTTTGGAATAATACCTCTTTGTTTCCATGATAAAACCCACGAAGAATTATTTACTTGATTTAGGTTTCACCATGTCATCATTGTAAACATTATACAATTATTCGATAACCCTTAATCCTGTTTAGAAAATACAATTTTTGGAACATTTCCAATTCATAACACTTATGACGTCTTTTCAATTGCTTTGGCTGAGTTTATGTTTAGTATATTCGCAACAATTGACATAGGGAAATGTCGGTCTTTTTCTAATCTCCCCTAGAGCCAAACAAATTTATAATCACTTAACAAACCTAATACGAGTATAAGGTAAGTCAAGGGTCGAACCCAAAGGAATGAGTAGGAGAAACTTATAGCCTAGGGTTAAGCTTTTTCAAAGATTGTAAGATGAATTGAATTGTAACTAAGGTATCAAATAGCAAAACAAATTAAAGAAAATCAATATGCTAAACACTAGGGATATAGGTTCCAAATGCAAGCTTAATGATCACAATAATCGATGGATGACTCGATTGATTCAAACATTGCAAAGGACAAACAATAGTTGCAATTAATAGAATCCAAAATCTATCTCCTATAAGCCAAGCTAAGGTTCACTAGGAATGACTAACAAGGAAAATCACAATCAAATTCAACTAATTAAAGAAATTCTCAAATCAAGGGTTCATGTCATTGAAATTTGCTATGCAATCTAGATAATCATATAGGTTGATCACTCCAAATCAAATTAATCACATGCACAACTATGTTAACCACTTAATTGCATCAATATAATCAACCAAGAATCATCAAATAGCAATAATCATCAATCAAGCATGCTCCCCCTTCTTCCTAGCTACTAATCTACTCACAAATCATGGTGGAATTGAAAAACAAAATAAATGGAATAACAAACACCATCATTTTAAGCTTAATCGAAGAGAAAATAAAACATTCAACAAATTCTCAAACTAATGATCAACAATCAAATCAAACATTAAAGAATTAAAGGAAATAGTAAGCAAAAATAAATTCAAAGGAAGAAATTCTAACAAACTTTCATTGATTGAAGATGAAATCCAAGCTCAAAGATGAAATCAAATATGAAATTGAAGTATAGAACAAGTAATCTCAAGTTTCTCTCTATACTTTCTCTCTCTACTAATTCTAGAAATAAGTCTCAACTACATATAAAATCGTCAACTCCTTGTAGGAAATATTTCAAGCCATCCAACTTTTGTGCCCTACTATGATCATACACTTAAGCATGGTGGCGTCCAAAGGGAAGGAAGCTAGAGTAAAAGAGTTGCCAACAAGTTTTAGGAACTTGTAAACCGTTCACAAGGTGAAGGTTACACCCCTTAACGATCCAGGAGATCGTTGACTCCAATAGGTCTGGAACCATGATTGGAAGTTCAGGGATGAAGGTACAAATCCAACCTAAAAGAGATTAAACTTTCCCTGAAAATAGGCCTCTACATTATTCTTCTCGCTTTCATGTGCGCTTTCTGACTAACATACAATCAATAGGTTAACCCTAAACACGTTTATCTATGTTGGTTGAATATTAATGCACAAATAAATCTATTATTGGCGATCACTTGATTTATAATCAAACTAACCCTTAGAAAGATTATTAATTATCTTATTAAGCGTTATTACAAGTACAAATTCCCTTTAAACATGCATAAAAGGCTTGATTAAGCAATAACAATCATCAAGCAACATAATAATCATAAAAATAAAAATTATAATCATAATCGAAATAACAATCATAATAAAAATAATCATGTTAAAGCTTAATAATATAAGCAAGATCCTAGGCATGATACTAACAAGATTAATAACAAGCCATAGCATGTCACTAAGCAATAAAGATCAAAGCTTTAACCCTAACATGACACTAACATGATATAAGGAAAGAATAGGAAGTATCATAGAAACATACATGATATTAGAAGTATTAACAAACCCTAAACATGATACTAGGAAGAAATAAAACATCCTAACATGAAACTAAGAATCAACAAAATAATTTAAGCATAATTTCTATATCAGAAGATCAATAAAGCAACTAAAGCACTTAATTCGAATCCTCGTACCTCTTTCTAATAAAAAAATACACACGTTAGTAACTTCAAGGAATAGTATAAACTAAAACATTAAATTAAATAATTAAAATAGAGATTTGGGACCAAACACTCAGAAATATCAAACCTTTCACATCTAAGGCGAAGACAACTTTGAACTTTGCTAGGTTTTTCTAGAGCTAATGAGTGAGGAATTTTGTAAAAGGGAAGGTTTAGAAAAGAAGAGAGAGAGAGAGAGAGAGAGAGAGAGAGAGAGAGAGAGAGAGAGAGAGAGAGAGAGAGAGAGAGAGAGAGAAAGCTTCTAGATTTTAGAGAGAGAATTAGAGAACTCTAGGTGTTGATGATTTTGAAAACAGGGAGATACGACCCTTATTTATAGGAAAAATAGCACGGGATCGAAGAAAAATCATATTTGAAATAAAATACCTCTTGTCGCAAACGACAAGAGCCAGCGCTAGACGACAAGCTCATCTCCTGACGACGAAGGTCAACGCTTGGCGACGACTCTGTTGTCTCGGGCTGGTTCAAAAGTCAACACGCTTTTACACGCATAATTACCTTTCAAACCGGTTGTAGGTAATTATGCGTCCAAGCAAGTTCGAAATAAGATTTGATATATTTTATTCTAAATTAAACATCTTTTAAAAAAAATATAATTATCAATCCTAATCTTATTAGAATTAAAGAGAACCTTCTAGATATTCCTAGAAGACTAAAATCAATCCTAATCACTTTAGGAATAATAATTAATAAGCCCTTCTCTAGATCATTGGGCCTAATTTAATTTAATCTATAACTTCTTCATAATTCATCGGAATTGAGCTTATAATATATCATTGTAACACTAGTAGAAAAAATGTTATTTGTAAGTGGCGAAATTGACTTTTTGTAACTGGCATTGTTGGTTGCGAATGCCACCGTTACAACTAGTGAAAATTATTTGTAACCGGCTAATGTTAATTACAAATAATGTACTATTCGTAACTGGCTTAACATAACGCCAGTTACAAAAAGTCTATTTTCCAAGGTAAAAAGCATACTATTCATAACTGACATTAAATTACGCCGGTTACAATTAGGTATTATTTGTAACTGGCAAATCTTAACGCCGGTTACGAATATAATTTTATTTTATTAAAAAAAAAATTAAAATGGCAGCAGTAGCAGATGCCCCTACTGCCATTACCAACGCTACATTTTTTAATGTGAAGCACCATAAATTATTAACCCAACTTTTATACAGTAATAAATACAATGATTATTAATCTAAATCACGTAAGGTCCAATTTAATCGACATCGATCTACATCATCAATTATAAAATATGAAAAATGATTTACTTGAAAATTACAAATGTCACCAACTTTAATTTCAACTACAAAGGACATGTATGTCATCCTAAAAGAACAAAATGATAAGAGGTGATTGGAACTAAACAAAATAGAACATAATTGTGATTTCTAAAACAAAACAATCTGAGAATTGCATGTAGAAAACATCCGTTCTTAAGTCGTTCACCCTTTCGAAGGTGCTTGTAGAACAAGCTTGAAATAATATTGAACCCAGACTGCATCCAAAACCAACCTGCAAATTGTTATCACAAAGACCGATCTTAAATAATTTCCAAAATATGAGTTCGTGGGATATCTTAAAAGGTTCCAAAGATAAAAGTTTTGATTTGCGCACAAGTAGTGATAATGGATTTCTCAACTTATTGAATCTTAAGAAGATTACAAGACATTGAGTATTAAGAGTGTCTAAATGTTATGTGAATAGAATCAGGTTAACGATTCATGATGCATGCAAGGAACAACATAATGAAACTAATTAAGTTTGGTGGGATGAGGGAAATCACCCATATGCACCCAACAAAGACGATAGATAATAAGTTCTACCAAGACCTGGCCTATTGCTATAAGCAGAAATAGAACCCAACTTCAAGAGCATTCACCTCACTAAGAGAAATCATAGAAATGGCTAATGAAGATGCAACATTACACTTTAAAAGTGTATGCTCAAAATGATGGGATCTAACCTCAATATCTGATATAGAGCACAAAGTATCAAATAAAACCATCACTTTCCTGCTAATTACAAGAAGGAAAAATAGATACCAAACTTTTTGTAAATTAAAATTCCTGTAAAACAAAGGAGATTAATATAGGATTAGGAATTTCAGTTAATCTCTATGTCTTTTAACGAAAGAAATTAATCATGTTAGTAACCAAATATTGATAAATTTATATGGTTATATAACCTGCAAACCTGGTCAAATCTAATTTAATAAGTATGAAAATTAACTACTCTATAATAATCTAATACTAATTTTAAATATAATAAAGCTACAAACTAGCTAAGATTCTAAAATGACAATGACAAATAGTATCAAGGAGCTTCACACTAATGTTTCTCAAAAAAAAGAGCTTCATTGCTTCACACTAATAAAACAAAAGAGTAGAGCTTAGTTTTTGATTGGGTAACCAACAGGTGACTACTACTACTAAAAAAAAAAAAAAAAAAACCGATTTAAATGGATTATGAGTACACTAAAGTTAAAAGTTCCGCAATTGTAGTTTTTGAGAGACAACATGACAACAAGAATCAAGAAGGATATGCTAGATTTATACATAGCTAAATAAATATTTTGAAATTTTCCTCTGTTCCCTTCTCCCCTAAATAAAGAGTTTAAGCTACTATAGTGCAACCATCCATATCATACTATTTATCTGACAGCAACAAAGAGTAGTCAGAGTGTATCTATTGAATCCTGTCTATAATCTGGGACAGTGTCGACCCCCATGCTAAACAATACAGAAGAAAAAAAAAATTACCTATCATTTAAGTTGGCGAACATTGAAAACAGCTTTCATGGAATGCGAAACATATGACATCAAGTAGGCCCTGTATGCATCTTTAGCTGATTTGAGCAAGTCATTATTATTTGTTACCAAATTATCCTGCATAATTACATTATGTAAGGTGGTGCTTTCATAATTGAAAACAAAAAAAGGAAATAGAAAGGCTCAATACCAGATGAGACTGCACATTTGCCAGCTTTGTTGTATCGAAAATATACTCTTTTACAGGTACCTCCTCACTCTGCATCAAAAATTTGCATATTGAGCTAAAAAAAGGTTACAGAGTACACATGAAGAAACAACTGGAAATACCTAGCAGGCTATCATAACCAAGAACTTAACGTAACTGAGGTTTCGGCCCATAGTTTGTAGTCAGTCTTTGGGGCTTATCTCCAAACTATTTCACTAGGATTCGTGATTGAGTTCCTACAGTTTAAGTCCAACCCACATCCATCTGACTTCACCTTCACCATATAAACTTTAATTATTGCTTATCGAATATATTCATACCTCCAAATAACTAAGATACTGCAACTCTTCTGGAATCAGGAAAAGCAAAGCATTACCCTTTGCACCTTCCCCACGAAAAGAGCCAACGTATAACTAACCGAATCAAATGAAGCTAGCTATACAGGAAGCCAGTAAAATCGCGTACCTTTGGGTCAGCTGGAGGATCATACAGTACAATCCAATCCTACAAGAAGTCAAGAAAACAGAAAATTCAACTGTAAGAACTATTACTAAACCATAACCTATGTTCTGTTAAGATTACAGTAACTCAGTCATGTAACATACTAACCACAGAAGGAATTTCAAGTCCACAAAAGCAAGATCAGTGCACAAAAGTATGCCTTTATCTGCTTTGCAGAAGTTTAAAAATGTTGTCACCCTCTTAGTCTGATTTTGCTTTGCGGGTGGAGATCAAAGAAGTCTATCTCATTATATTTAATAAGTTCTAAATGGAATTTTACCAGTCACAACTCACAACAAGAAAAGACGACCACAACTTGCTTAGTCAGACTCCTCTACAAAAATAGGTAATGCTGATTGTAAATCAGATGTTGATAGAACTAATAATCTCATTAAGAGAGCTATATTTTTCACAATCACTGATCATTGATGACCTGTTCCTATTCAGAAATTGATAGAACAAATTAGAGCAAAAAACCACACAGAGTATAGCAGTAGAAAGGATGCAATTTATATGAATGAAACACTCTTAAAACACCCGCAATCACACAGGAATATCACAGAAAAATCTCAACACAACTCTAAGAAAAACGAACTAAAACAGAAGCACATACCAAATTGAACCAAAACTGACCAGTTTTACAAAAACAACCCAGATTAATAGCAAACAAAATCAAAAAATTCTGAAATTTTACAAGCAAAGAGTAGACAAAAAATTATCAAAATTCAAAAAAAATTACCTAAAAATCATTTGTAATGAAGGAGAACGATCCCAGAGAAGTTAGACCTCTAAACTGTTCCAGCGAGATTCAATAGAATTTCTCAATAAACTCAAAATTTGGCTTAAAATTCTTCAAAAACTAACGTTTCCAGTCGCACGCACTAAAACCTTCGGATTAAATACGAAAATTATAGCCAAAAATCATAACGAATAGAAAAACAATGTTCCATAAAGTTTAGAACATAAAAAGGAAAATCGAAAATAAAACTCAAACATATCAAAATCCACTTCGATATTACTGGATAATGAATTCTCACCTAAAAAATTAACAAATTCAACTAGAAATTCATCCAACTCGCCTATCAAATGGATAAATTAGATATAAATTCATGCAAATTTGATAGTGTAAACTACTAAACAAACTAATTAAGAAAGTTCAAAACAAACCCTAGAATTCTTTTTAGTTCATATAATCAAATAATCACTTCTAATTAATAAAAAATACATAAATTTGGTAGAGATTGGGAGCATACCTTGATAATATTCTTGATGAACCATTTTTGGAGAAGCTTTAGAGCAGTTTCTGAGGAGAGGGGAGTTGCGGACTTGAAACAATGCGACTGAATTCTCAAAAAAAAAATAAAAAAAAAGTGTGAAATGTAAATGGTGCGTGCTAGTATTAGTAACCGAACTTAGTAAAGCCCATTACAATTAATACGGTCAATAAAGTTTGACTTATTATTTATAACTGACCTTTATATGTCCATTACTAATAGTTGATCAGCCAATCATTGACCTATTATTTGTAACTGACCTTGGTTATGCTAGTTACTAATGCTATTTTATTGTTAACCAGCACAATATATGTCAGTTACTAATATTGTTGTTGCAACTAATATAATTTACGCCAGTTACAAATAAGGCGTTACAAATAGCAGTTTTTCTACTAGTGTAAAGCTCTTTTTGAGCCCAATCCAACTACACTATTATTGAACCCTTATCATCGACCAAACCAAATTGGACTGGTTATTTTTTATAAATAAGGTAAGAAAAGAAATATTTTTGAAAACAAAAAGAGAAATATTTTAATAAAAACATCCTCATCATTAAACTTTCCAAACTTTCACTTCGTTCGATAATCAAATGACGTGAAAGGTATTCATCACTGGGTTTGGTTTTTGGGTAGACACATTTGGGTGTCTATAAAAGCCCCCACTTTGACTGAGTTTGGAGAAACTTATGTTTTGAAAACAAAAGTCAAAGTAGCAATAGGGACGGAGAATGATTTAGAACGTTATGCAATCCGGCCTAAATCATTCTTGCATCGCCGATACCTGTAAATTAGCGTTTGTTACAACAGATAAAAGAGTTAAGAAACGCGTATCTGGCACCGTCGAGCACAAGTCTCTAGAGTAACTAATTTTATTTAACGATCTTCCTAAAGCTAGGGGATACCGCCTGAAGACTACCACGCTTGCAAGTGCCTTCAATTTTTGCCGTGATAATCTTCCGCAAGCTAGGGAACACAATCAAAGATTGCTCTGCTTGAAACGATCTTCCACCGTTTTCTGACCATCTTCCGCAAGCTAGGGAACACGATAGAAGATGACTTCTCTTGAAATCACCTCCTGCTTAACGTCGTCGAAGACCACTTTGCTTGAAACCATCCTCAGTTGTTCGTGACAACTCTCCACAAGCTAGGGAACGTCGTCAAAGATAACTCCGCTTGCAGCTATCTTTTAATTGTTGCGATAATATTCCAAAGAAGATTACTAAAGACCAACACTTGTTGATCCTTAAAGCCCGCTTGAACTTTGCTGCTGCGATATTTGCTGAAATTTCCGCGGCGCCAGTATGTCAGCGCATTTTGCTGTTTGGTAACCATTTTGTCGGTTCATTTATGCTACTTATGAACCATTGTGTCGGTGCCTTCTGCTGCTTATGAACCATTATGTTGGTGCCTTCGCGGTGAGCCAATGTTTAGGCGGTTTAAGCTAAATGAGACGATCTTTTATCAGGTCAATCACCTACTATGAGCCGATTACTTAATCATTTCAAATTGCTTATTGGGGCTAACTGGCGTACCAAGGAACCCGAAATTCCTACATAAGGTCCACATAGTAATTTATAAGGGTCAAGTATTCTGTCTCCGTACCTGCGCACGGTGGAGAGCATTGTCGCCGAAATTCTACTCTGTTGCCAAGAGACGAAGACCAGCGCCTGGCGACGAACTCTTCGTCTGGCGCCAGTGTCGGGTTTTAAAAAAAACCCCATTTCTTCTTCATTTGTCGTGGCTGCTGTTGCTGCTATTCGTTTACGCTCGAAGATTTGAATTGATCGTTCTTGCTCGTTTATCCACCAAATTTGCTCAAATTTGTTGCAAATCAAAGCTTATCTTATCTATTTTCCCAATCCATGTAAGTTTTTTCCAAACTTAACTCGATTTTTGCTAAATTTGAAGATGTTTTCGCGCTAGTATTTGAAAAAACTCGAACCCAATTAAGCTTAATTCGCTTTATTTATCGAATTTTATACCTTGAAATTGCTAGATTATGTTTATGTATCATGTTTAGGGAATTTTGAAACTTGTTTTACTTTATTTGGTGAGGAAATGACCAAATTTCCATTGTTGAACCCCTTAAATTCGTGAGAACAATGTGACCTGTTTTTCGGGTTTTTGCTAGCCATTTTTGTCAAAATTAGTCACAATATTTATCATAATATTGCAAGAAACTGTTTGACTGCTGAAAACTGTCATTTATGCTCAAATTGAAATTATACTCTGTTTTAGTATTTGACAAGGGTTGGAACTAGGTCGTTATCTAACTCTTCTCTAAGTCAAACTAAATTGATAAACGCTTAACAAACCTTATACGAGTATAGGGCAAGCTAAGGGTCGAACCCAAAGGAATGAATCAAAAATAGTCTAACGTTAAGCTGTTTTGAAGAAATGTTAAAGGTTGAGTATGGTAACTAGGATAACAAGAATCAAGAATTCAACCAAATTGCTAAAATCCAGGGATATAGGTTCCACATGCAAGCTTAACAATCATGCTAGTTGATAGATCACCCGATTGACTTAAACGTTGCAAAGGACAAACATATATCGCAATCAAAGGAATATAAGGGTTATCTCCTATAAACCAAACTAGGGTTCATTATGAATGATTAACAAGGAGAATCACAATCAAATTCAATTAATTAAAGCAATTCCCAAATCAATTGTTCGTGTCATTGGAATTTGCAATGCATTCTAGATTAATCGTATAGGTTGATCACTCCTAGTCTAATAAATCACATGCACAACTATGTCAACCTCTTTAATTTCAACAATCAATCAATCAGGGATCATCAACTAATAATAATAATCAATCAAGCATGCTTCCCCTTCTCCCTAGCAACTAATCTACTCACTAATCATGGTGAAATGATCAAAATGGTAAAAGAAAAGCGTGAAAAGCATAATGAAAATATCCTAAAACACTGCCCTATGAGTGCCATAAATGCCACTCATCAAATTCCCCCAAGCTAGACTTTTGCTCATCCCGAGCAAAACAAAAGCTAGTAAGGAATAAGGATGGCTTATTAAGAAAAGAGAAAGAGAAAAGGAAAATATACACTAAAACTCACTAATGTACGAATCACGGTTGTTTTTTGCTACAACAAGCCCTTTAAACCTCAAAGTCGCCTATGAGGACGAGTGAGGTCTTCTAAGGGTTTTCTAAAAGCTTGACCCACAACTCTTTGAAAAAAAATGAGGCAAAATCATTTAAAAAGAAAAGAATGTAAAACAAAAGTTCAAACAAATAGCTCTTTACAAGGCTTTCACAAATAGTCAAATGCAAATGCATGAACACTTTTCTATAAGGAATGGGTATGCATGCTTCAAGATATTCATGGTTGATTGAAACATAAGGTATGCTAAGCGTAGAGAACTAATGAGGCGCAATCCACTTTCATCCCAACCACTCTAGCCGCGTTCTCCATATGGTTTCAAATCTTCCCCTAGTGAGCGTCCCTATGGTTCCTCGAAGGAACCTAAAAAAGATTAGAATTTTTAAGGTTTCTCAACATCTTGACCTTGCATCCCTTTTCCTTAGGCTTTAACTCATAATTCCCTCCCTCGGTATATGACTCAACCACTAGGTCGAAAGGAATTTCCCAAAGGTTGTAACGTAAGGGAAAAAAGTTAGGGGTATGTTAAAATTTTAAAATTATGAGGTATTCCTAAAAGTGAAGCAAAGAATGGCGCCTTTCTTAGAATCACAATCAAGTAATCACCAAAAAAAAACAAACTAACACCCCCAAGCTTATTCAAAGCTATATCTACAAATTTATATACAAAAAGCATAAACACTTATCCCCAAGCAAAAAGGAAGCATTGTCCTCAATGCTTGAAAAGGGAAAAGAAATTACAACAAAATATTTTTGGGTTTTTCTCATTTTCACTATTTTTCTCTTTTTTTTTTTTTACTTTGATAAAAGTTTGTACTTTCATTAATAACAAAAACAATTATCCACGCCTGTTACACTTAGGACGGCTTTTACAAATAGGCAATTGCATTGTCCTTGCCTCTTTTTAATTTATTCATTTGCCATTATTCATGCAAAAATACAAAACACAAGCTTGCTTACAAATATGAACCAAATTTCCAAACTCACAAACCACATACTCCAATGAAATGATCATTTGCTTCATAGAAACCAATATTGGAACAAAAAGAAACAAAAGGCTCAAGTTTCTAAAGATGTGGCTTGAAAACAAGGGGAAAGGCTCAAATGGCTAGCAAGAAGGTAAATGCAAACCCAAATGATATAAAACTTAGAAAAGAAAAATTACCACCCCGAAAAGATGCCTTTGTCCTCCCTAGTTAGTTCGGTCTCGAGTTTGAGAATTATGAGTCAAGATTTAAGATTAAGTCCGCAATAGTCAAGGATCCATGACGCTCATACAAATAGATGTTGAAGGAATAAGAAATATTGAAACTCACATGGATGTG